TTGTAATATTTAATGTAAACATTTATTTATTTCAATATTAAATGTAAACATTTAATGTCTCTTTTTCTTTGAAGAGATACAAATTGAGTGATGTAATTACATCTTCTCTACTAACCCAAGCACTCTATTTGGTTCTACGATGAATATTTTTTACATCATTAGCATATTACAAATACTTGCTCTTTGTTTTTGATGTTAAGAATTAACCTATAGACAATTTATGGAACATTTAATTAACATTAGAAAGCAGTATAAATGCTATAACCCCCATCAGTGACAAGTAATGGCATGTTGGGAAGTATAGGAGGCAAGAAAAGAAGACAGGAAGTGAAGGGTTGCTGAGTCCCTCATCTTATCCAGTAGAAAATCAAAAGATATTGGGCTTGGGGCAGGGTTTCAAACCCGTTCGAACCAGTTCAGTCATAGCCAATGAAGTGAAACTGAAACAGACCTGAATTTTTAAAATTTAAGTGATCTGGAACCATAATCAGAAAGGGAAAAATTACAAGTCAACTCGGGGGACATCTAACTCAACTGGCATAACATAGTTTATAAAGAAAATGTTCTACATCCTACTTTGGTGAGTAGTGTCTGGAATCTTAAAAGCTTGTGAGCAGCAATCTAAGACTCTCCACTGGTCCCACCCCATCTGGAGCAAGGGAGAATGAAGAAAACCAAAGACAAAAGGGAAAGTTTAATCAAAAGGACTAGTGGACCACAACTACCACAGCCTTTACCAGACAGAGTCCAAGACGACTAGGTGGTGCCCAGCTACCACCATCAATTGCTCTGACAGGGATCACAACAGAGGGTCCCAGACTGAGCTGAAGAAAAATGTAGAACAAAATTCTAACTCACATAAAAAGACTAGACTTATTGGTCTGATAGAGACTGGAGGAACCCCAAGAGTATGGCCCCCAGACACTCTTTCAACTCAGTACTGAAGTTACTCCTGAGGTTCACCCTTCAGCCAAAGATTAGACAGGCCCATAAAACAAAACGAGACTAAATGGGCATACCAGCCCAGGGGCAAGGACGAGAAGGCAGGAGGGGACAGGAAAGCTGGTAATCGGGAAACCAAGAATTGAGAAGGGGAAAGTGTAGGCATGTAATGGGATTGGCCACCAATGTCACAAAACAATATGTGTATTGTTTAATGAGAAACTAATTTGCTCTGTAAACCTTCATCTAAAGTACAAAAAAAGAAAAAAATTACAAGTCGAAGCCCTGGAATGGGAGACTTGGAAGAGACGTAGTGAGCCCTTTCAAGAGCCCGATGTGTCAGAATGGATTATTGCCAGGACTGATGAGAGTGACACACATTCAAAGTGGCGTGGTGCCATCTTTGAGTAGGGCACCACTTTCTCCGACTCTGTGCAAAATCCAGTAGGCAAGAGATTTGGCTGCTATGCAACATGTAATCTGCTGTTGTTTTCTAAGAAGGAGACTAAGCTTCTAGCAGGGCTTTGCCCCATAATTTTTCCCATTCCAGTTATGGTTCAGGTTCACCAAGTTTAAAAAATTTGGGTCTGTTCCGATGTCACTTCACCAGCCATGATTGAACCGGAAAGAATTGGTTCAAAGCCTTGGTTTAGGGTTGGGGTTGGGCACGACTGGCAGGAAAAAGGGCAGCTTGCGGGAGGCTAGGAAGCTGGGCCTACGGATCTAGCAGGTGATATTGGAGGTGCACACCGCCTGGGTGGGTAAGAGTGAGAGGGCGGGGCTGAGCAGGGGCACTGAGAGGAAGGGCGTGGCAGGGGCGGGGCCAAGCAAGGCTGTGGAGATCGGGGGGGGCCCCGGCGCCTGCGCAGACCATCCACCTCGCCCGCCCTGGAGCTTCGCTTCGCCTCGCCTTGCCCTGTCTTGCTTCGCGTCACCTCACCGCGTTCGCCTTGCTCGCCGCCGCGCCATGCCCCGTTTGCAGGTGCTCTACCTGCTTCCCGGCCGCCGCGTGGTCCTGCTCCGCCTGCAGACCCACGGCCGCCTCACCCACTCGGATTCCCGCAGACAGCCCACGTCGGGCGTGGTGAGTTGAGGCCTTGCTACAGGCGTCGCAGAGCCGGCGAGGAGCGCGTGGCCGGACGGGGGTGGCCGACGGTGGGGCGGAGGGCGCAGAGGGGGCCACGGGGTTCGCAGGGGAGCGAGGCCGTCGGTCCCGAAGGGCTTACTGGGCGGGCGCGAGGCCGACGTCGAGGGACGGGGCGGGAAGCGGGCGACCCGGAGAGGGGCGCGGGCCTCTGAGCCAGGCAGGCCTGGGGCTGTAGTCGTCGTTGCCCAAGATGGGCACGAAGAGCGAAGGGCAGAGCCGTGGTTTTACCTCAGTAAATTGTTCGGCTTCTTCTAACGCCCTCTTCATTGCTAAGAGCGCCCATTTTACCTAAAACGGGGAGATCCTGGGCAGCATCTGGTTTCCAGAGTTCAAAGGTCGGAACTGAGAAACCGTTAGGAGAAAAATGAGTTTTCTTTATGAATCCACTTGGGTCATCTAGGAATTGAATTTTTGCTTTTTAGGTTTCACCAGGCCCCCGTTTGTTAGACAGCAGCTAAATTTTTCAAAAAAATTTTAAGCAGTTTTTGTTATGTAGCGGGGAACCGGGCCAGGAAGCCATACTCATTATTGCTTTTCGCCTTTCAGGAAGCAGCAGTTGGACTTGTGGTGATTTTTGCATCCTTCTTAACACCGTGCGCATGGGTGCTGAGCAATCTGGACCAGTTCAGAAGGCACTAAGATGGAAGGAGATGTAAAGCAGCTGTTAACATCAAAAGCTTTCAGAAAAAAAGCTGTGGCTTGCTTAAATGAGTAAAAGTGATTAGTAGTTGGGTTGGTTATGCAACCGTTTTGGGTATGCAGTTTTATAACCATGTTTATTATAAATATTTTGCAGTTACTAAATACTGTGCGTTATATAAAAGTGAATTGTATAGTCATTTAAAAATGTTTAGCTTAAGTGTTAAATAAAATTGAAACACTCAGGTTTGGTATTATGTGTGATCAGAGATTAATTTCTAAACATCATGGAGAAAATTTACTGATGAAAAATACAGTAATGAGAACTGCTATGCAGGGTCAGACTTAACAATTTATGTGACTCAGCAGCATCAAGGGACATTTTATGGGATTGAATGCTTGTATCTAGTTATATCAACCTTAAAAGATTAGGTATGTAGCTGTAAGGTAATATCGGTTGGTTTAGCTAAGTGATTCTTCATACTGTTTCATATTTTGGTACTGAGAGTAGTGAGATCCACACTTTACTATTCACTGTGAGAAATAGAATTCTTTATTAATTTGTCTTTTAAGATTGCCTCAGCTTTACATTTCTACATTGCAAGATTTGGTGAGTACGTATGTACATGTGTACTTTATTTGTATCTCTCAATTTTATTGATTTTGTTACTTGTTGTGTTTCAAGTTTGAAAAATCACATCTTTGAATTCAAGCTCTGCCAATTATGGTGTAACCTTGGACGGCATAGTTCAACTCTGAGCCTCAGTTTCCTCATTTCTCTAATGGAGACTTATTGTCTTAAAAGGGTGTTGTGGGGAATAAAACATTGAACAAAGATAAGGAACCTCCCAGCATAGTGCCTGAGATAGAGTAAAATAGCAGTTACTGTTAATAGGATTCATGCTTTAGATAGTCAATGAATAGAAGTTATTTTTAAGAGAATATACAGATTTTAATATTCATTCGACAAGTACTTATGGCATTCCTGTGATGTGCCAGGTATTATCTGAGGTCAGTAAACCAAAAATAGACCCCTGCCCTTGTTGGGCATACAGGGCTTAGAGGACTTGTATTCTAGTTCTATTAATGTTCTTACATTTAAGTTTCAAAATCTATATTGGGTCAAATAACTTTTCAGAACAAGACTATGAAAAGGGTTTGTGACAACTCCTAAAATTTCAAGGTATGGGTACCTTGGCTAAGTGAAATCTTATCAGTTTGTTAAGATGCACTATCCTTGTTCACTGTTGGCAAACCTACTCTTAGGCCCTTTAAATGAACTCTGACCCATCAGGACACAAATTCAATTACCCTTCTAGTTTCTCGTATTCACCAAGACGTCCCTCCTGCTGCCCATTCTGAGCTTACTTTTGTCTTCTCTGACTGATGGCTTTGTACTTCAGCTTCTGAGGCCTGCCTCCATTTGCCCTAAGTGATTGCAAAAAGGCTGGTTTACTTTCTTGCTGGCTGGGGAAAAATATTGAAGTATGAGTCTTTTTCCATAGAACTTTAACTCTTAATTTTCGGATCCATTTATTTGACACTCAAATTTATTTATTGAGTGCTCCCAGGAAATAATGTTATGCATTGGAAAACGGTGGCTCACGTTTGGATGAAAGGACTCTGTTGCCTTGTCTTGCTATTTAAGTTTACATGTGTAGAGATGTCACAGTCAAAGTAATTTTCGGAGGAGGTCTTGCTCATTTTGTACAAAACGTTTTGGGAATTCTTTTGAAATTGTTTTAATAATTGCAGGATGTTCTTTTGGGAAGATCCTAAGTGTGGATAAATCTTCATTCCTTGATTAGATTTTGTGGAATAGAAAAATAAATGTAAGATCAACTTTGGGGAATAAATGAAGCAGTACAACTCCTGGTTTAGAAATGAAGTTTGACTGTAAACTAATAAAAGTTTTTGTTTTTTTTTAAAAATTACTTTGTTTTTGGTGAAACTGACTCTGAGGGAAACTGCAGAAGAGGAGATTATAAAATATTTTGATAGTGATGTCAGAGCTGAGTTTAGAGCTTATACTATCCATCTCCCAGATGAGTACAGTTGGGTATAAAAGTTATGGTATCCGAAAAGTTTCTCATTAGCGTGTAGCTATACTTCCTATCAGGCTCATCAGCACAGCTAGATTTAAAATTCCTTGAGGAAGGGCAAGCCATAGTATTTTTTATTTCTTAGGTGCAGCATAGTGGAGAAACTAAAATACTTACTCTCTGATCAGAAGACTGAAATTATTCTTTCATTTAAAAAGTATTTAGTGAACGTGCTGCCTTTGAGCAGTGCCTGAGTGTGGCGCTGGGGTTAAGCTGCTGCACCAGAGCACGTGATTATGCATAACTGGGGCCTTCAGCTCCCTGTGGGGTTTGGGGGGCCCTTTAAACCACAGTGACATGAGTGACATGGCAGATTTAAAAAAAAAAAGTAGTGAGTGCCTTTTATGTATTTTGTTTATAAGAATAGGGACAGTTCCAGTCTTAATGTTTTTTCAGCATTTAACTCAATGCCTGGCACATATTCTGCACTCGGTTTTTTTTTTTTTTTTTGATTAAGTAAATACACCAGTTGCGTGGTCAAGTTGCTGGTAAGGCAAATAGGGTTCATCTCACTTGCCAGTTCCCATCTTTTGTAGTAGTGACTCTCTGGAGTGCTATGTTGAGAAGGATTATAGAAGGAATTGAAATGATTTTAATTAGCATTGTAAATAAAAAGTAGCTATTATATTGATTCAGCATATTATTTTTTTCCTTGATAACTTTGGCAAAGAAAGAAGTGGAAACATTTCTAGGAATTATAACACCAGGTCTTTAGTCAAAGACTTATAAATTGTATGTAATATATTTAATTTGTAAACATTATGTTGTTTGAGCAGAGCAAGGAGAAACTGCATGATTTAAAATCGGGAAAGGTGTGTGTCAGGGTTGTGTCCTTTCACCATATTTATACAGTATGTATGCTGAGCAAATAATTGGAGAAGCTGGACTATGAAGAAGAATGTGGCATCAGAATTGGAGGAAGACTCATTAACAGTCTGTGATATTGCAGATGACACAACCTTGCTTGCTGAAAGGGAAGGGGCCTTGAAGTACTTACTGATGAAGATAAACGACTACGGCTTTCAGTTTGGATTACACATCAGCATAAAGAAAACAAAAATCCTCACAACTGGACCAGTAAGCAACATCATGATAAATGGAGAAAAGATTGAAGTTGTCAAGGATTTCATTTCACTTGGATCCACAGTCAACACCCATGCAAGCAGCAGTAAAAAAAAAACGATGTCTTGCACTGGGCAAATCTGCTGCAAAAGACTTCTTTAAAGTGTTAAAAAACAAAGATGTCACCTTGAGGACTAAGATGCGCCTGACCCAAGCCATGGTGTTTTCAATCGCCTCATATGCATGCAAAAGCTGGACAGTGAATAAGGAAGATCCAAGAAGAATTGATACCTTTGAATTATGGTGTTGGCAAAGAATATTGAATATACCATGAACTGCCAGAAGAACCAACCAGTCTGCCTTGGAAGAAGTATAGCCAGAATGCTGCTTAGAAGCAAGGATGGCAAAACTTCCTCTTACATACTTTGGACATGTTATCAGGAGGGACCAGTCCCTGGAGAAGGACATCATGCTTGGTAAAGTAGAGGGTCAGTGAAAAAAGAGGAAGACCCTCAACGAGATGGATTGACACAGTGGCTGCAACAGTGGGCTCAAGCATAGCAACGATTGTGAGGATGGCACAGGATCAGGCATTGTTCTGTTCTTTTGTACATAGGGTCGCTGTTAATCCCTCTTATTTTGACTCGGGCATGTGCTGTAGAGAGAAATCACAGAATCACACAGGTAAGTTCTTTTAGAAAGTCACTTTACTCATAGGCCTACAGTGCTTCTTGAAATTCCTTTCTCTTTTTCTTCACTTTTCATGGTAGTGGCTATTTTAATCTCATGTTTTCTTGACTACTTATTAGCCCTCTGCTCACTCTTAGCAGATTATCTCACCTACTTCATAGACAGCATAGGAACAATGCCTTAATTATTGACCCCTAGTTACAACTGAACAAGGATCCCAGGTGGCACAGTGGTTAAAAGCTCTACTGCTAACCGAAAGGTTGGCAGTTCAAACCCACCAGCTGCTCTGTGGGAGAAAGATGTGGCAGTCCACTTCTGTAAAGATTTACAGCCTTGGAAACCCTATGGGGCGCTTCTACTCTGTCCTATAGGGTCAGTATGAGTCAGAATCAAGCTGCGGCAATGGGTTTAGCTAAAAGTGTAAATAAATTGCGCTCATCTTTCCTCCAACTTCAGTGGTAGCAGAATTTCCAGTCTGAGGCTAATTTTTTTTGCCTGTGCTCTGGGTCCTACCTTCTTTCTAATCTGTGGGACACAATTGTAGCAATTGTCTATCTTTATCTTTGATTTCTCTTTCTTTATTGATTCCTGCCCATGGTACTTTAAACATACTCAGCTTCCATTCTTTAAAAAAGAAAAAAGCTCTTCCACCTCCTCCTACCATAAGCATCGAAGTTTTTTGCCACTCTTCTCAACTTCCCCTCTCCTTTAGTTTTCAGCTAACTGAAATTTTATTTCTACTATCATTCCATTGATACTGCTCTCCAAGGTAATCGGTGACTTTGCCACTAAATCTAATAGATAGTTTTTAGTCCTTACCTTTTAGCAGTATTTCACATTATCAACAACTCTACCTGTGATATCACAAACTTATGTTTTGCCTACTTATTTTTCTCCTACCAATTTGATTGTTCTTTCTTAGTTTTAGCATCCTCTCCCCTTTCATTTATTTATTGTTTATTCTTCCTCTATAATCCTATCCCTTTGGATGACTTAAATTACCATCTACTTTTACTTGCAAATCAATCTCTCTGTCCTAGATCTTCTGAGATTCAGATATGTCTGTCTGCTTAACATTTGCTCTTGGATATTGCACAGACACTTCATATTAAAAATATTGAACTCTGAAATCTTTCCTTCAGATCTGCTCTTCCTTTGTGCATTCATTCATTAGTTCATTTAATACTTGAGCACCTCCTGTACACCATACATTGAGCTAGGTACTGATAGATATTGAGGAACCAAATAAAGTCACTGCCCTAACAGCCTAGAGGGGGTGATAGACACACCTGTAAACTTAAATACATAATCACAAATAGGGTTTGAAAAACAACCAGGGGACCTAACTTAAATTGGGGGTTGGAGGTAATCATTGAAGGTGTGTTTGCTAAAATGCTATTTGAGACCTGAAAGGTAAAGAGTAGGGGAAGGACCATTAAGATAAAACTATTGGTCTCTACTCATCCGAAGCCAAAAAGAAAGAAGGAAACCAAAGACTCAAAAGAAGAAACTAGTCTACAGGAGAGATAGTCTACACAAACCATAGCCCACCTACTCTGAGACCAGAAGAACTAGATGGTGCCTGGCTACCGCTACTGACTGTTGATCAGGGCAACAGTAGATGGACCCTGATAGAATGGGAGAAAAATGTGGAACAGAACCTCAAATTCTTAAAAAATCTAGACTGGACCAGTTGAGACTGGAGGACTTCCCAAGACTGTTGCCCTGAGATACTCTTTAAACCTTGAATTGAAACTAGCCCCTGAAATCACCTTTTAGCTAAATAACAGATTCACTTACAAAATAAAGAATATCAGCCTTGAGTACTGTGCTCCTTTAAAAAATCATCTATATGAGGCCAAATGGTCAAAAATTAGACTTTAAAACAAATATAAGAATGTAAAAGGGTAGGGAAACTAGATTAATGGAAGTGGAACAACCAGAACAGAAATACTGAGAATATTCATGCATTGTGAAGAATGTAACCAATGTTACTGAACAGTTTTTGTAAAAATTGAATGGGAACCTAAACCTCCACTGAAAACAAAATATTAAAAAAAATAGGGCAAGGAAACTAAAATTATGGACAGAAGGAACATCATACGTGAGACTCTAAGGTGGCCAAGATCTTGACATTTTTCAGAATTGAAAGCTATATAACCTTAAGGGTTGTGAGTGAGGGGGAAAGTGATGTGAGAAGATGACGATGGGGTACCCGTTATCGTCGAGTTGATTCTGACTCATAGCGACCCGATAGGATAGAGTGGCTGGTGGGTTCGAACTGCCAACCTTTTGGTGAGCAGCCAAGCTCTTAACCATTGCGCCACCAGGGCTCCTTTTTAGGATGATAACACAAGTAATTTAAGGTTATGAAAGTAAATATAATGAGAATTGAGGCATGTTTCCCTTGAATCTCTAAAGTGAGATACCATGGCCTTTATTTCAGCTACCTATGCTAGAAATCTGAAAGGTCAGTCGTTCGAACCCACCAGTGGCTCTGTGGGAGAAGAGACCTGGTGATCTGCTCCCTTAAAGATTTACAGCCTAGGAAACCTTATGGGGCAGTTTTGCTCTGTCCTGTAAGGTCTCTCTGAGTTGAAATCAACTTGATAGCACACAACAACACGCTAGAAATAAACCTGGGAATCATCCGTGACTATCTTTTTCTTTACTGTAGCCCTTAATTTTACAAGTCTTAACTGATCTAAAAATTTTAACTTTTCTTATGTTGTCTACCTCTTCCATCTACCTCCAGCTTCACCTCTTAATAACTTTTAATTGTTTTCCTGACTATGCTCAAGTCATATTTAGCTACTCATATTTGTATGCCCCTGTAATGGTTCTTGGATGGCACAGTTTGTGCTTGACTACTAACTGAAAGGTTGGAGGTTCAAATCCACCCAGTGCGTGCCATATACGGAAGGCCTGGCAATCTACTTTCATAAGGTTACAGCCATTGAAAACACGGAGCACAGTTCTACTCTGGATCACATGGGATGCATGAGTTGGAATCGACAACAATAGTTTCGGGTTTGTTTTTTTTTTTTTTTTAAATCCTCCCTATACTTGAGTTTTTCAGATAGCCTCCAGCCTTTACATCCATAGCTGTTCTCTCAAGAATACTTTTCCCTTCCTTCTACCCTTTATCCCTCCAATTTCTATTTTGGTTTGGATAGTTTTTACTCAGGAGCTCCGCTTAAGTGTGCCTATGACTTCCTCAGCTAACTCTTAAAATAGTTGTAGTCTCTTCAAGAACCTCTCTACCTCTGGTTCACTCTTCTAGGTTGCATCTGTTTGAGGTCCCAACCCAAATCAAGGGAGGTTCACCTGATCTGTGCCCCTTCCAACGCCTCTGGTTGGCTCTGGATTTCAATCTCTCTGCCCCTATCCTTGAGAGGCTGTCAAAAGCACCTCTCAGCCACTTCTCCCAGAATTGGCAAATGCAGGGCTCACCTCTCCTGATCTCTGTATTTCACTGGCTTTTGGCCTGGTAAGTCTTCCATGTTCTGGAAGTTCTTCAGTACCATCAAGTAGATGTTCTTTATATTT